CATGAGTACTATATACAGTATCAATATCATAACGTTCTAAATTATCCTTACAAGAAGTATGACATTATCTTGTATCCATATGTAATTTCTACAATGTTTCTGGTTGCGCGCTTAATGAAAGTTTTCGTATTAAAAAAAAATTCATTCATGCCATGTGTTGACTGTACACTAACTATATCCTGTATAAATGAACCCGGTTGATTACTGAACTCGCACACTGGAGTCACAGTTGTGTATTCAACAGACGCTATGATATTGTTACGACAGCGGAAGTCATGTGACTCTGGAAGCATTCGCGCTGAAGTTTCGAGAAGGATCATGACTGTTCCTGGCAACTCTAGTCTTTTCTAGGCGCCCTCTATTTTAGTATATAAGCCCAGCAAATAAAGCGGAGAATAATTGCAGATAGAGTGACATAGAGATAGATAAATGAGTCAAGCGAGCTGTAGGCACCGTGTGTAAAGTGCGTAAACCGTTGTGAATTTTTGCGTGTGTTGAAGTGAAAGTGACTGCGGAAATTCTCTGTATTGCAAAGTTGTATTGAGAAAGAATAAACTAGTTTTATTTAAGAAAGGACTTGTATCACTGAAGTTCCTCGGGAAGAATTTATACCGGAAATTAACAAACGACCAGAGACGTAACTATCTTAACACATTGGTGAGAAACCCTTAATGTTTGGCAACATTTAACATTTTTTCGACAAATGTACCAACGTTTGTTAGAGTACAATATACGTTTCTTTCTGTAAACAGCCTGGTCTACACTCCTTTATGTTCTTACAATGAGAGATTGTAATTCGTAAAGAAAGAAGATAATATAAACACGTGTGGCGGATAGAAAAGAGACACTATGTTTTACCGAATACCATCCACTCAGCTGTGAGTAGCTGTGTAAGTAATCGCTGCTGCTAACTGACTGATTTCCCTCTGGTCAGTAGTTCAAAATTACGGATTGCTTGCTATACCCGAGTCCTAGGAATTTATTACCTGGCTGTTTGACCTGCGTGCGCCTATGGTGTCGTTCAGGCTGAAAATTCCAATTTTGGAGTTATTTGTCGTTTATTAAATCAAGTATTTTCGCAATATTACAGTCTGCACTTCGATAGATTCAAAATCTCGTAACATATTATTCTACAGAGAGAATGATGATTTAGATAATAATTAACACCAGAGTAAGAGGTTTAATTTTTAAAATTTTCACATAATATTTCCCTTGCTATTTTAAAACAAAAGTAGAGTTGAGAGCTAATTTCTTCAGTGTTTATCTTACAGAAAAAATATCTTTTGTAACTGTTTCCTGCACACGAAAAGGACGACTACTTATGTTTTTTTTCTTCTTAATCGACACTGGTAAACCTTACAAACGTTTGTTAGGCCTAATGTCGTAGATGCGGAGTTATTTGAGAACAGCCCCTAATGTTTATTCTGTATCTGAAAATTCGGACATTTTTGTTTATTCTCCGACGAAAATGATGTTTCAGCTTAATTAAGAATAATGATAACAAAACTAATTAAATAAATAATAATGAAGCTTATTAAAAGCTAATGTCCGGATTATTAAAAGCCTTTCTTTCACAAACTGGAAAAGTTTATAAGAAATCATAATACTAATAGCAATCTTTCCAAAAACAAAACGTTTGTTTGAATTCCATTTCATTTGATTCTAGTTCATTTAGATTGTTTGTTACTGTAGTTCATGAATTCCAGCACTCGTATTAATAATAAGTTTAGTAGCTCTTTATTTGTCGGCCTCAGACTATATGGTTATTGGTTAAGCCAACTTATTATTAGTAACACTGATATTATTTTGTTACCCGCTAAGCTACCTTTTCATTATTACCTCTAGGAATTAATTGTTTGTTTTTAATTATGCACAAAGCTACACAAGGGCTATCTGT